GACTAATAATTGTCCTTATCCTTTCATTGTCAATGCCATGATGCATTCATTCGTTATGTAGGCTGCATTTCCCAACTTGGAATGGCTGACTATCACCCACTTGAAAAACTTAGGGATCATATGGCACAGCAAACTATATATGGATTCATTTTGTAGACTAAAATCATTGAGAGTTGAAAATTGTGAAAAGTTATTGACTATATTTCCTTCTATTGAGGTAACATATTCCTCATTTACTTTCATTTTGGCTTTTAATTTTAGGGACTAATAATTATCCTTATATGTAGGCTGCATTTCCCAACTTGAAATGGTTGACTATCACCCACTTGAAAAACTTGAAGACCATGTGGCACAGCAAACTATATAAAGATTCCTTTTGTAGACTACAATCATTAACGGTTAAAAATTGTGAAAAGTTATTGACTCTATTTCCTTCTATTGAGGTAACATATTCCTCATTTACTTTCATTTTGGCTTTAATTTTAGGGTCTAATAATTATCCTTATCCTTTCATTGTCAATGGCATGATGCATTCATTCATTATGTAGGCTACATTTCCCAACTTGGAAAGGCTAACTATCACCCACTTGAAAAACTTGGAGATCTTATGGCAAAGCAAACAATGTACAGATTCCTTTTGCAGACTAAAATCATTAACAATTGGAAATTGTGAAAGGTTGTTGACTGTTTTTCCTTCTACTGATATATTGGGAAAAATCTTGAAATCCCTCGAGGAGTTATTTATATATCAGTGTGGCTCACTAGAAGGGATATTTGAAATTAGCGAGTTCAATGTCAAACAAACACATGCTGTAATTGACACCAAGGTTAGAGAATTGAGGATTGAAGGTCTACCAAGATTGAAGCATGTGTGGAATAAGGATCCCCAAGAAATACTCACTTTTCACAACCTGGAATCAGTCAAGGTAAGTTGTTGTGGGAGTCTCAAAAACTTGTTTCCAGCTTCAATAGGCAAAACCCTTTTGCAACTCCAAAAGCTACATTTATACCAATGCGGGGTGGAGGAAATTGTCCCAATGGGAGAACAAGAAGCTGAAGCAGTTGTTAGCTTTGAATTTCCTCAAGTAACAAGTCTTAAGCTTGAGGTGCTACCAAGACTTCAATGTTTCTACCCAGGAAAGCACACAACAGTGTGGCCAATGTTAAAAAAGTTTTGTTTTTCCCATTTTAATCAAGCAAAGAGAGTAGATAGGCATGAGCAACTTGACTTCCCTGTGCAATTACCACATTTCTCTATGGAAAAGGTATGATTCGTATCTTAACTTTCCATTGTTAAAGTAGAACCTCTTGCCAAAATAAAATAATAAAAGAACACCTTATTACAAATATATATCATGTAATAAGTCATTACTTTTTAGTAATCACCATACATGGATAATGATATCATATTGGAAAGACATGGTAACTTGCTTTACTAAGACTTGAGACTGCATGAAGATAATTCTTGGTATTTCTTTAACTTCGTCATTATTGTTTGGAATCTCTGTATTAGATGAATCTGCTTATGTTCATTTAAGAAAAACATAGTTAAAAGCTGTTTTATTATGGCTATCAAACCATTGTAAAGAAAATCTTGATCTGTAGATTAAGAAAAACAAGCTACTTAGTGAATCAAGAAGGAAAAAGAGCTGGCTTTAGCTTTTGAATTCTGCAGAGCAAACCAATTACTGTTATGGTTAGAAAATCTAGTTAAAAATAAGAACTCCCATAACTTGAAAGCATAATTTGATCTAGCATAGAAGTGTACCAAATGTTAAGCTTTAGAAGCCAGGTATGGTAAGCAAGAAATATTAAGTTAAGAGACAGTATTTTATGAGTGAAAGGCATATTATTTTAAAGTGAAATTATTTATACGTGTATCAAGTGGATAGTCCATTTCAAAATCTATTCACAAAGTGTAATGATCGGTTTAACTAAAAAACTCTCTTCTGATTATACCCAATATTGGAACAAACTTAAAAAACTTAAAAGAAAAAATTAAGCCATATGCAATGTTGAGATACAATTTACCTTCGCATAAACAATAAGAAATTTCTGGACTTCCAAAACGCTAGCCATACAGTTAACCTGAAATGGTTAGAGAAACAAACATGAGCTATGAAGCTCACTAAGCATAAGTCATTACTTAAAGCTGTGAGTGTTGAGTCAAATTAACACGAATAATCAAATAATCAATGTTAAAACTTATAACTAGAATTCAAATAAGGTAAAATATAAAGGTGACAGGCATAGCTTAATCATATAGATCAAATCTCTTAGATAGGTTCTTCATAAATTCAACACTAAATCATTAACTTCAAACATAATAAATATCATTAGATTACTAAACAATTCAAAAAAACAAACAATCACAGAGTCTATGGAGTCCAGTTAACAATTTGTGGTGCACTTCACATTAATCAAGGCCAACCGTAGCTTTTTATTGTGTAGAGGTCCAATCAATCAAAGTTGCTCAACTTAGAGCCCAAACAATTACGTAAAATTAGCATAGGTTCCAAACCCTCCATAGACTCAAACAATAGCATAATCACATGGCAGAAACTATGATAATCATGGTTTGACAAAACAAATATCGAATGCCAATTCTCACAAAACAAATAGCCAGAAGTCCCTTTCTCTTCCTTCGGTGTCTAGTTTAGAAATTATACAAATACAAGTGCTTAATGCTTACAAGCAAATGTAAAATGTTTGGATGTTTGCAACATGTCTTTGCCACCCCACGAATAGATTTGACAACTGTATTCCATTATAAAAATTTCTGAAAACTGACATGTAAACCCGAAACTCTATTGTTATGCAAGTAAGTTCTGGCAATTAAGAATAGAAACTTATGAACTGTACAATTCATTACATTCATTCCACCTAAAAATACACTATACAACATTTTTCAGTTCAATTAATAATAAGAG